GGCAAAGCCTGAGATAAGGAATAGCACGGGCTCCAAGGCCTCCACAGGTCTACCACAGTCAAGGGTTCCAAGGCTGAGGTGGCTCCAGCTTTACTATGGTGGAAGAGATGGGGAACTTGTCTTGAAGTATTGCAAGAAAGTACAAGTTTACTCACAGGTGAAGAACACTTCGGGATAACTGGGAGCTGAAAAACTTACAAAGGCCTAAGACACCCCCACTGGGTTTGACTGCCTCTCAAAACACCGTGGAGTGTTCAGGCAAAATTTATTTCCTGTAAGAAAAGCCCACTTCAGAAAAGCCCAGAACAACTTGCATCCCATGACTTGGGGTTTTTGTTGTTGTTTGTTGGGATTTGGGGGGGGTTATTTTCTTTTTCTTTTTTTTTTTCATTTTTCCTGTTTTGTTTTCCCGGGAATGGGATGGTCATGTCCATTTTGGCCTTGATTCTATGTGCCCCTGTATGCGTATTTCAGGGCAGATTTTATTCCCCCTTCCACTTTCTGTGCCTCCTAGACACCACCCTCCCCCACCCATGAGAAGGGATCCAAAGAACAAGAGGTCTGTAGTTGGGACTGAAGAACAAGCAATTCAATATGGATATGTATCATTCTAACTGCAATATCTTTTGTGGAAGTCAAGCAATTAAGGCAATTTCCATAAGATCTGTCCCAGAAGAAAAGGTTCTGTGGGGACAAGGTGAGAAAGCTGTTAACTATTGTCTGGCCCTGAAAAGGTCGTAAGTCAGAGCCTCAGTAGCTGACCTGTCAGGGGAAGGTATAAAGGCTTTATTCATGCAGTTGCTGCAATGTTCTCAGCTCTCACAAAAGTGTTTTTATGATTCGATTTTCTTACCTCTTTTCTTAATTAAAAAGCTGAACCGTTAGAATAGCACCTGCATTGGTCCTGACAGTGCCTGCATACTAATTCCAGAGTCTTTACAGCTTGTAATTATAACATAAAATCAGAGACTGAATAAAACAGAAGGATTTTGCTCCCAAAGCCCCGCTAATCCCCTTTTAAAAGGGTCTGGTGAAATAATTCACAACAGTTCCTTTTTTTTTTTTTTTTTTTTTTTTTTTTTTTTTTTTTTTTTACTTTTTACAATGAAGTGGTATTTTACACTTTTAAGAAGGCCGTTTTTTTTTTTTTCCTGTAGCAGTTTTTTATTACATTTTTTAAATAAAAGAAACTTGGCCAGCTTTGAGGACAATAGGAAACATTTCATTACGAATTTCTTATTTAATGCAGTGGCAGAAAATGTAGGGAAAAATTTGTGGTATGTTTGAAACATTTTTCTCAGGTGAAAGTGGTTAAAGTGTGATAAGGAACTGCTTATGTGCATCAGGCAACACACTTCTCTCAGAGGAAATAAATAAGGAAGTCTTTTCGGGACAGATGCCTATTTTTCTTGGCTTAGAAATATAAACATTTAAGGAAAAACATTTTTCACCAATATGCTGGGTATATTCTTTAAAGGATTAATGAATACATTAATGAGTTCAAAAGCTAGAGGCCTCTGTTAAACCCTAAGTAAGACTTCGCAATGGCACAAATCAAGGACTTTGAGCTGTCTGCAGTTTCTCCTTAGTTTTGGCAAAGAACGTTATTCTCATCTGGCTAATCTGGTCTTTCATGGGCTGGCCTTCAGTCACAGACAAGAGAAAACCAAATCATCCTTCTGATAGCCTATATACATCATTTAATGTTGTTATTGGTGTATTATTTTTTCTTATTTTTGCAATTGTACACTACATGTCACAGCTACGATGATAGACAATTCTCCAATTTTGCTTTCTTCCTTCTGCAAACATTTCCTAAGGCTGCTCATTCATTGTGAGGTTTAGAATCATGCACAGTCTTGCTCACTTTGTTTTGAATCGATTGTCCTGTATTTTTGCCCATGTAGTCTACACTGGCTGTAAATTAGAAGAAAAAATAAAAAGAGGAAGAAGGTGGGTCACGTTTCAAAGTGCACCCTCATGGTCACATTTACACTAGATTGACCTGTACCTCTACCTAAGGTATTTTTTTTTCTTTCTTTTCCACGCAGTTGCTTTGGATGTTTGCAAAGCCACTGGACAGTTCAGGGACAAAACTCAAGAACTCCCCAAACTGTCTACTGAATTTCTGTTTTTCTTGAATGACTTTGGGGTCTGAGCTCCAAAACATTCCCAGGAAACACTCACTTGTTTTTCTCATTGGAGATATTTGGGTGAAAAGGCAAAGCTATCCTGATGCCTAGTTTGTGACTGGTGGAGTATGTAATTTGGGGATCTTTGGTCACTTGTTGACTAAGATGTTATTAATTTTTATGAAATGAGGATTTAGTATGAAAAAATAATACTTGTGAAAAAGGTCCTGATGCCTTATTGGGAAAAATGTACCTTTGTGTGACTTGTGCCCAAACACCCTGTCTTCAACCTCCTAGCTGCCTGCCTCCTCTCTCAACTCGCACTTTTCCATTTTACACACCCAAGACTTGAAAAGCCCAAACCGCAGAGCTTATGATAAAATAAATTGACACAAGGCAGGCTGAGCCATTGTGTTTACTGCAATGCCAGTCTTAACAAGTCATAGGGGTGACATTAAGGCGGTTGGTTTCTTCAGCTTCTTTCCTCACCAAAATAAACTCAATTCTCTCTAATTTTTCTTGTGCCTTTAAAAACTAATTTACATTTTTCCCTCAGTGCCCGGGTGCCTCAGGCTCTGTAACTCTCAGAGAATAAACTTGCTCAGACAGTTGGTCTCAGAGAACAAAGTGACATCGGGCCTCTCAGCTATCCTTCAGACTGCCTGAAGGAGGTGCACGCTGCTATGGAGTTTAGGGTCCCTGAGAGCGCCATAATTTCTGTTAGGGACTGAAAATAGTTATCTGATTAATGAGGAGCTGGGGGAATGTGTCTGAAAGACAGAATCCCAAGATAAGTAACAGTAATAACACCTAGCACTAGCAAGTGCATTCTAAATGTTTAAAAGATTATCTTATTTAACACTCAAAACAAACTTGTAAAGGAGGCTCGTTTTAATTTCATTCTACAGATGAAAGAACTGAAGCACAAAGAGGTTTCATCACTTATCCAGGGGCACAGGGCCAGTAGGTGAACAAACGGGGCAGACTGCCTCCTCGTCTCCAAGATCTTTTTCACCAGGCCAACATAGTGTCTACCTGGTTCTCTAACTCGGAATAGCGAAGAAGAGAGCTGGCTGAGGCGGACGGATCATTAGAGCCTATAGCGCGCCCAAGCTTCCCTGAGCATTGCCCCTTCAGGGTGGGAGCTGGGTAACTTCCCCAGAGAACAAGAGGGATAATTCTAGGATGAGGCTAGCCAAGGGCACTTGGGGACCAGTAAATTCAACCCTCAGTCAAAGGTTACACTATTCAACTCTTCCAAACAATAATGCCTCAAAGGAAATCTAAGCTCTCCTAGTGGCTGGGGGCACTGAGGTGTCTTTAAAAGCACTTTCTCTTTCCTCTTCTATTGCCCCGCAATTGGAACTTGGAAGTTTCAAAGGCCTTTCATTCTCCAAAACCTGGTCAGGGAATGCCAAAGACAGCGGAGCCTCCCGGGCACACTGTCTTTTTTCTGCATTCTAGGGAATGATTCCAGCCTCAACTCCTGGATGCCCTCCCGTGCGAGGCTTTCCTGGGCAGAATGGGAAGGTGCGGGTAGAAGGGCTGGGATCCTCTCTGGAGCCAAAGTCAGGCACAGCTGTGAAGACTCCAGGCAGCAGGACTGAGCAGAGAGCTCCGAGCCCCAGAAGAGCCAGTCCTGACTGGAAGTGCCGGGTTCATTCCTAATCCCCACTTGCTCCTCACCACAAAGCTCTGTCGGTTAAAGGGCTTTAATGAGTGCTCTTTCTCAAAGAGGCCGAGTAGAGGAGAGGCCCCTGTAACCTGGCGCTGAGCCGGAGGAACTGGGCCTTCCGCGAAAGAACGGGAGGGGGCGCTAACTCCAGTGTTAATGCCCAGGGACCTCCTTTCTCAGGGATTCCATCTCCTCGGACTGGAGGTCTTGGTTTCCCCTCGTGGCTTCCTTTCTTACACCTGCGCGTCACCCTTGCGCTTTGCGCGCTGGCGTCCTTTCTCTTAATGTTTTCCCCAGGACTGCAGCCCTTGCCCTACGAGTTGAGTGAGTCTCCACGGCGTTCTCTAAGGAGACCAAGCATTCCCACCCCAGGGGTCGTTGTCTTCCCACTCCAACCAGCCCCTTGCCAACTTCTCAGGAATAGAAAAGGTGTCAGGCTAACTGCTCGCTGAGGTGGCGCCTGAGCAGTAGGTGCTGGGGAAACAAGGTTTGCGAGTTCCTAGAGGTCCAGTGACCACGCAGTGGAGGAGGGAGAATGATTCTGGAGATTCATTTGAAATAAGTTTGCCAGTGGCTGGGCCAGATAAGAGTGTGCATACATCAGATGCTGAAACCCACCAGATATTGAAATTGGGGCCCAGGGAAGTGTCATGTGGGCTGTAGCCTCCCAGTCTTCAGGCATAGACCTTCGCAGTCATCTGAAGGGAGGCTTGAGGTCTGAAAAATCGCTTCTCACAAAGGGGGGGGGGGGGAATCCAGCTACGAAGATCCCTGCGGGCAACTGTGCCTGAGACACTCCATCAGAGCTGAGTCAGGTCTTACAGCCGAACTGCCCTTTTTCTTTCCTTGTTTTGATTCCCACCAGCTACTGGGCTTTTCTCTGGGAATTCAGAGGTGGTTTATTAGAGGTTGCTCTGATTTGAAAATATAGAAAGGTAGCTTTTCCTGGCAGACACGGAGAGCATCCTTTCAACTTTTTGATTCTACATTGTGTTAATAAATTGGTTGGTGACGTCAGTGTCATTGGGACTAGAGAAGTCTTTCTCACAATGGCCACTTTAGGGGGTCCCTCTATTTTTCTGTCTCAGAGATATTTGTGTGAAGCAGTGAAGAAAGACTGAGGAGAGAACTGGAGGCTTCTGGAGGGCCTCGAATCTCTCCCAGGATGAAGAAACAATAACAGGACACCAGGATTCAAAAGAGGAAGGGAAACGTCACATCATTTATTTCCAAAGAAAATAGCCAAATGGAGCTCCATATACACAAAGGCCTTTGGAAGAAAAAGAAATCACAGATTTAACATCATTTACATTTACATATTTACAAGATCAAGCCATGGCTTTCAACTTTGTTGTTCATTCAACAATCACTTTCAGTCAAACAACTTTTTATTTTCAAGTTAGTTTATAATTTAAGTGACACTAAGGAGACAGATGATAAATCACAAACAGTGTGGGTAGAGAGGGTACAAACAGTCTAAGGTTTCAGCCAGGCTTTTGTGTGTATGTGAATTATGATTACAAAATGTTTGCCTGTCTGTGTAATTCACATTCATTGCAATTATTACATTTTCCCATAAATTAGCAATATAAACAAACATATGGAGACCTCCAGTTAACAAATAAAATCAATATCAGAAACAACATTTTGCAGCAACTATAATAACAGCGTGGGTTACAGCTTGGAAAAACTTCTTTACAAATCATTTATTCAGCACACACAGTGTGGGGGGACCAGCACATCCTTATTTATTTAAATCACCTTTAAAACCACAACAGGAGGTTTGGGGAAACCTGAACTGGTTTCTTTCCTGGGCACAATATAAAATGAAGAACTGCACATGTGGATGAGGGGAAGGATGGGCATTTACATGCATTTTGGATCACTATGTTGTAGACCAAACCTTCTAAACTTCAATTGCCAAGATTATGAAGGAAACAGGAAATTAATAAAACGTCTCTGTCCCTCACCTATTCTCCTTCTTATCAATGGCAGAAAGGGCTTTCTGATTGCTGCCAGTGAGAAGAAACATACAATGGGTATATTTTTAGCAGAGGTGTCTCTGAGGGAGCGGGAGATACTAACAATTGCTTGGCTGCAGTCTTAAGTTCCAAAGATCCTGGGCAAGAATATTAGAAGCCAGAGGGGTACCCAAAAACCCATCCAGGTGACCCAACTTGTGCTGAGTGAAAGCCAGAGCAGAAAGAAGCACACACTCAATTATGGACTTAGGGTTTGTATTCTGCTTGCACCTTCTCTGCATTCTTTTCCTTAAGTCCCAAAGCTTGTGCCAAGGGCCCTCCAACATCTGCATACTTCACCAGGCCAGGCCCTGACCCTGATGTCTAGGCATTGCTTTTGTTTATCCCTTAGCAAGACTTAGCCCTAAAGTTATGTATTGGTGCAGTGTGTGGATTTTTTTTTTTTTTAAGAAGTTTGATTTTTATCTCTTTAGAAACGGTTTGAAACTAACGGGGCAGAGGGAGTTTGACAGAGAGGAGAACAAATCGCTGACAAAGAACCTTTTACGTTTCATCAGCGTTGTTAGGACGACAAGCAGGAATGTCTCAGATAATAACTCCCACTTCAAAGATTTCTCAGCTCAATAGAAAGCGGACCATCCTTTTTATTCAACCACAAGGACTGGCACTAAAGAAGACTCTACTGTTTGATTTTTTTTCACCGTGTTTATTTTTCCCCTATTCACTGGGGTACTTGGATAAAATAAACAACAAGACAATTAAGGGAACATGGACTTCTAACTTTCCTGCCATCTTCCCCACATCCCCTTGGCCTTGGGCTCTTGAGTTTGCATCTAGGACAAGTTCAGGCCTGAGGGTGCCACACACACTGCCTTAGAAAGAAACAAGTTGGGGGGGGGGCGCAAGAGACTTCTGGGATGGAGAGGAAGAAGAGTGGCATGGAAAGTCAGAGTGGAAATGTCCCAAGGGTACAATTTGGACTCCTCAGACACCTCAGGGTGACTCCCTTCCCCACAAGTCTCCATCAAATTTAAGCCTCCACCCTACTCAGGAGTCAGAAAGGCGATTTGTACAAAACTGAGCTGGGAATGTTCATTTGTTAAGCTTCTGAGGCTGCTTTAAAATTATTTACTCCTGACCCTTGAAACTCTTTGGGGCGCAGTCAAGATGCACGGAGTCCTGCTCCTCCCTTTCCTGAAAGTGTCCCCTGCACCAAAGCCTCCCACATCAGGGCGCAGGGTGAACCCCTAAATGTGGGCAAGTCGGGCTCTAGGAAGGAAGTATATACTGGAGAGCGCAGTGACAGTATTAAATGGCGTGAAAGCAAAGGTCAGCGCAAATGTATCTTAATAGAGTGTCTGTAGTGAAGTGTGCCGCCTTTGAAGCGACCGCTCCCCGCGCGTATTTCCATGGCGAGCCTAACGCGGCATGCTGATGCACCGTCAAACTCACACTTTCAACCCCAAAACCCGACTCTTTGAACAACCCGAGCTTGATTAGACCTTTCTCCTTTTCTTTCCCCTCTTACAAACCATTTCCTCGCCTTTAGAAACTCGCCATCAAACCCAAATGCGTCCTCTGATCACCGCAGAAAGCAGAAACAAAGAGGGCTGAGCGGCGATTCAAGCGGCTCTTTTCTTCCTTCACATTATTATCCATTTTTATTATGATCGGGTACAAGTGCCCATTCGCGTGGGTTTTGTTTACCGGAAATTAAATGAAAATGATTTAGTCCGCGTCAAACAAAAATATATACTTGTATACACAAGAAAAAAGGTCTGTTAGACGTAAATATTATGTCCTTAATGAAAAGCCTGGACGGACTCCAGGCTCGGCCTTTCAGGATTTCAGTGCGACTTGCCCATTGCCATAGAAATCCTAACTTACCATGAAGATGCACCGTGGCGAAGAAACACTGCTTTGTGCGCGGACCCTTTGATGTCGCAGGCGCGAGATGCGGGGCGCTCAGCTGCACGGAGCGAGATTACCTTGCGAGCAACGCGGTGGACATCTGTAACAAGCAAATGAAAAATTAAAGGCGATTAGTGACTGACCAAACATTTTTGTTTTATTTCATTATTTTAGATGGGGATAGAAGGCAAAATGGGGAGCCTAGAAACAGAAGAGAAAGACAGGAGTCCTACTTCAGGAAGGGGGACTTTTTAAACACTGGCAGAAGCAGCAAGTTCCGCAGATGCCCTCTGCACCTTAGTGGTGGGGTCGGTGTTTCACGGTGGGAAAGAGTTGTTTGTTGCCGACTGCCTGCGCTGGGTCAGGCAGCCTCTGGGCCCTATTGTGTTAGGGGGAGGCAGGAATTTCAGTTCTCCTTTCTCAATGACGGATTCACTAAGGGTGTATTTGGAAGATTGCATTTTTTATTTGGAGCCAAGAAAACAGTTCCACTTCAGTTAGGACGTTATTTCATCTGATAAAAGTTGTGGCGGCTGCGGGCAGGAGTGCTAATTCTAATTGTATCTGAAGAGGAGAGAGCAGAAGAAAATTCATCAGTGGCAGGGCCAAGACTTGTTTGTTGGGCTCAGCTTTTAAAATTGAGCTATTTTGTGGGGTACTCCCCAGAGGGAAAACCCACCTCCCTGCCCAGCACACACACATACTGATTTTCAAATTCTTAGGGGACTGGAATGAATCTGCCAAAGCTTTATTATTTTATTTTCCTTTTCTTCTTCTTCCTCTTCAAATCTTAGCTAGGATTTTAGGTCAGCCCCCTTCTCCCGCAGAGAGGAGGGAAAACAGGACTGATTTTTTTCCCTTTGGCAACAATTGCAAAGGCCTTCCTCTCCCCCGTCTTCAACATCTGGTTGTTTTTTCTGGGGACTTCATACACAGCATATCAAATACACATTCAATCTAGACCCACTGGGTGTTTGCCTTTACAATATTTATTATTGTGGATCATTTCTCTTGTTCCTCCTCCACCTCTTTAAAAATAAGGTCAACATTGTGCAATTGTTGACAAAGACCATCACCGAATTGACGCGATTCACCCAGACGCTGCCGCCTAGGTCAGGTCCTTCCACTTTAGAAGCCTCGACTCAGTGACGTCATCGGCTCGCTCTACACCCGGAGCCCAAGCACCTACGAGACTCCACAGCCAACGCCTCGACAGGGGTTGGGGTGGGAAAAGGACCCGGGGAGGCCTCACTGCATTGAATCCTGAAGCCTCTCTGGCGTTCCTTTGTCTGTATTTCCTGTTGTTTTGAATTCACTCCCTACCCCAAGTATACAATGTATATCGAATCAGTGGACGACAGGCAGATGTTTCTCTGTGTGCCCAGGCCACTCCTTGGGGCTGGGAGCGTATAACCACCACCCACCCACCCCTGCCAAAAAGACGGTGAATCTCTCTTATCTCCTTTATAAGGTGGTTGGAAAATTAGTACTTATGTTTTTTTTGTTTCAAAGGATAGCTGGGCCAGGGGAAACCATAGGAAGGCAAAGAGGAAAGAAACTGGAGTCAAGAAAACGGCTCTGGAATTCCCTTTGCCCCTTTCTCTTGATCTGCATTTCTGAGATTGGAATTAATGTGGGGGAGGGGAGGATTGGAGTGCGGGTGGGAGCCGCCCAGTCCTCGAGAAAAATATTTCCCATTCTGTGAAGCATGCGGGGATTTTGTGGCTTTACTTTTGCCACCTACAGTTGCCAGGGTTGCACATAAATTCTCCAATTTTTTTCCATCGCCCTGTCTCTCTTCACCCCTAACACTGGTTTTATGCTACACAGTTATGAAGGCACGAGTGGGGGTGACGGTGCTGAGTGTGACTACAAAATAAATATGGGGACCATATTTATCTGTTAAAATAATGGGCATTATGTTAGCATATTCAGTGAGCTCTAGCGACTATTACTGATGGCCGGCCGGCCTTCCTTACTTCCGCCCTCGCCCTCCTCAGGCCTCAGAAACCTGGCCTACTCTGCAGTCGGTGTGTGCCGAAGCAGCAACCACAGAGGCAGCCTTAATACCGGAGGCGGCGGCGGCAGCAGCAACAGGGCCAGGTGGTGGTGCTGGACTGAGGGCGTGGCGGGGGCAGCCGCGGTGGGACCCAAGCCCTGACACACGTACCATTCGCTCAAGTCGGCGCCACGCGCCGCCACCGCCGCCGAGGAGGCCACCTGAGACTCGTGGTCGCAGTCTGACGAGGGCGACACGAGGGCAGACGGTGTAGCCGAATCGTAGCCAGAGCTGGGCGGCGGTGAGCGCCCGTGCACCTTCATGTGCTTACGCAGCGAGCTGGGGTGCGTGTAGCACTTGTCGCAGCCGCGCACCTTGCACGTGTATGGCTTGTCGCTAGTGTGCACGTGCGAATGCTTCTTGCGGTCGCTGCTGTTGGCGAAGCGCCGCTCGCAGCCCTCGAACTCGCACCTGAAGGGCTTCTCGCCTGGCGGAGGCAACGCAGAGACATTAGTGCTCGCGGATCGTGTTCCCTTCAGGTGCTCGCCACCCTCCCCCATTCGTCTCTCATTTTCTGGAAAACGACTACAAAAGATTTTCGGAAATCCCTTTCCACGGAGCCTCAGGTCGAGCACCCCTTTCCCTCGCTCAGAGAGCGCCCCCGGCGCCCTCTCCCGAGCGCCTCCATCCCTCCCCCCCTCCCCCGTCTGGGCTCTGGGGGAGGGTATGGAGGAGGAGCGACAGTGACTCCATCTTAGTTGAGTTTCCATCCTCGGAAATCCTGATCCACTCGGGTTGTTTCCTCCAAATTTTCTCCGCTTGGAACCAGAAGCACCTCTGCTCGGAAATATATTAACGGGGGAGTTCGCATCTGCTGGATATAAAGTTGCTGTTTCAGCCAAACGTCTCTGCCGCTACTCTGCCCAGCCGTTCATCCCTCCCCACCCCCATCCTGGCCCAAATTGTTTCCTAAAGTAGGTTTTGTGCAAACGCCAAAGCGATGAAATAATTTAAGGATGCGCAGCCGACGCACATAGTATGTGCATAATGTGGATTCGTGCTGCAGGGAAAGGTATTCTGAGCAATGATTCACTTCGGAGGAGATTTTTACAGGATATGGAGCCCCCTCTCTCTTCCTTTCTACCCCCTGAGGGCAAACATTTAGCAGCGTTCTTCAAATCTTGCCTAAACCTTCCGGGATCCCTCCAGATACGCGCGCCGGCAATAATATTTTATTACGCTGCTCCAGAGGCCTCCCGGAGACCGAGCTGTGGGCAGCTGGCCCTCCCAGTTCAAACTGACTTGCGAAGTAGACCAGGCTCCCCAGACCACCCCCACCTGCCTGTGGGCCTCTCAGGCCTAAGAGGAGGGGTTGGCGCGGTAGGCTCCCCACAGGCTGAGCGGGATCCGAGGTCTCTACTGCAACCACGCCCTTGAGCGCTGCGGCTTCGGGAAGAGAACAGCGGCTGCTGTCAGGTCAGGCCCGGATCCGCAGACTGGAGGGCGACTGGGCGGCTAAGATAGGCCTGGGAGGGGCTGCGATGCCCTGTAGAGCCGAGGGAAGGCGCGAGTGCGCGTTAGAGTGACAATATTGGCCGGACCGAGCCCCAATCCAGGAGCTCACGGCCACCTGAATTGGCTGACGTGTGGGAGAGGAAAGGACCCCGAGAATCCGGAAGCCTAGATTCCTGCCGGAGCTGAAGTGCTGAGGAAATGGGGGAAGAAGGTGTCTGGGCGCTTTAAACAAATGGCTGCCGCCCAGCGCTCTGAGTTAAGGGACCGGCTACCTGGCGTCTAGCTGAGGAGGAAGACGCACGGCTGGAGAACTGTTGCCTTTGTAGTTGCTTCTCCCGCTGCATCCAGGAAAGATAGGCGCTTTGGGGCCGGTTTGAACAAACAAAGCCCCGGCTCCCGAGCCCTGCTGAGGCTCGGGGGCAGAGAGGTTTGCGCATAACCCGCACTTCTACGCAGTCAGTGGCTTCTGAGCCCAGGTCTCCGGGACCGCCCAGTCGCTGGATTCCCACCCTACAGGAGTACAGCTAGTACATCCGACCCTCTGAAAGGTGTTGGCACCTGCCATTTCGCGGGACACAGGCACCATTTTATAAACCAGTGGGAGAAAGATGCAGAATAAATCAGTGTTCTTATTTGTCCCTTGTTTTCGGTCCTCTGATTACTGTCAGCATTTGCAAACCCAAAACTTTTTTCCATTAAAAAAAAAAAAAAAACTTACAAAAAACCATGAAATTCAGGCCCTGCAAAAGAAACCAAGGTTATTTTGAGAAAACAGAGGTGAACTGGAATTTGAGGTTGATGCCCCCACACCCGAAAACAAATTCCCGCCAAACACTTATCCGATCTAGTGAGCGCCTCGCTGGACATTCACGTAAAACAAAAACAATGATTTCGCTCCAGACGAGGAGCTGAGGAGAAAATAGCTGTGCACTGAGGTGATATCCGCAGCCGGGAAGTTCGCAGGCCCCTGGAAGGCCAGGTGACGCCGCGCCCCCAGCTCGCTCCAGAGCTGCAGGAGGCGCCCTGGTCTCCGCGCTTGACATCACCCCCGCCCCCCGCCAACACCCGGCCTCCCGTCCTTCCCCCTCCCTTCAGCTCCCTGCGCTGCGCCCTGGGTGGGTGGGTGAATGTGGAAAGGCAGAGTTGGGCTAGGCCCCTGCAGCCCGCTCGGAGCGTCCTAGGCCTGACTGCGCTGTGAAAGACCCAGATTCTCCTCCTAGAGGCTCCGCAGCCCGGAAAGGCCTCCTCTCCGACTCTGCGCGGAGCCCGCCCGGCAAAGTTCGGAAGCTCCGGGCAGCTGGGCCAGCGCCATTTTCTTGCACTTGTGGTTGGATCTGGCTGTCCCGGCGACTGCGCCCCGGCGTGGTCTCTTCTCCTCTACCTCGGAACCCCAGCACTGACTCGCTATCAGACTCCGGGGAAGGTGTGGCGAGCTCCCGGCCGAGGGGTCTCGGGAGAGGAGCTGGGCGGCAGTGGCCAGGCGGAGAGCTGTAGCTGGCCTGCGCCACCCTCCCTGAGGCACCATTGTTTCGGGATCGCTGTGACCGCCACAAAGTGAAACCTGTCGGTGCTGACAATCGCCTCCAAAGCCAGACCCGGGATTCAGGTCAGGGAGAATCTCAACTCCTGAGAATTTTGCTCCTGTTTGCCGCTTCCGCGACTCGAGGAAATGAAACGCCATTAATATTTGAAAAGGCAATTATTTTCCTGTTGAATCGAGAACTGTCTTCATGAATAATTTGTAGTGAGGTCTATTGCCATTTGAGAAACATTTTTTTTTTTCTTTCTCTCTCTCTGTCTCTCACTCTCTCGCTTCTCTTCTTACTACTTAGAAGGGGGATTTGAGGAAAATGCCAGAGCAGGCGAGACTCTGTAGTTTATTGGTGGTGGTGTTTTTTTGTTTTTTGTTTTTTTTTTCACCAGTAATGAATCAGGCCCGGGAGCCGAAAGAACGCACAAAATTCTGTCCTGAAAAGACGAAAATCTGAGCCAGCCCTGGCGCACTGAACTTGCTGCTCTGCTGTAGGTCGACTGCGCTAAGAATTTAACCATTTTCTGCTTCACAGACTTCAAACAGTGGGCCGGCAAAGAGCAGTAAAAGTTTGTTTGTTTTAAAAAAAACAACCCTGTCATTAAAGATGAGTTCCTTCTCCAGCTCGGGACTCCGAGTTTACCTTCCGGGAGTCGGCCGCCAGCTCCTGGAGTAGCAGGCCTGGGGCCAGGATTCGGGTGTGACCTACTGCCTCCTCCCCGAGATAAAACTTCCGGGGAGGGTGTGAGATTCCTTCCACAGGATGGGGAACCCCGGAAAGAGCTGGGAAAGAGCTCAGGGAAACCGTACACTTCCAGACAAACTTTAGAAATAAAGTGCCAGCCTCCAAGTGGACTTTGATCTGGTCTCCATGTGTGCCAGTGTCCAGGCACGGACCTTCCCAGGGAAGGGAGACTTGGGGAGAAGACAGAATTGAGCAGAGCTAGCCTTAGGGAGTTCTTTGACTCCAATTATTGTAGATGTTCCAGCAAGAGTAGGCGTAAGGCAAGGCACCGGACAGTAGGAGAAGTGGGGCACCGAGCTGGAATTTATTTTATTTTCTCCTGTTTACACCAGTCCCTTCTCCCCTCCCCCAACTGGGAAGTGGAGAAGACGTTGATTTCTTAAACTTCCAGGGAGGAGGAGCAAGAAAACCCTAGTTAAGCAGAGTACAAACAATGGCTGCTAAACTAATTAATGTAACTTCACAGGCTGTTCTGGAAGTGTGAAAACTTTCTCTTTGCAGTTGCATTCATTAGAGATGCTCTGGCTAGAGGAGTTCAATTTTGCAGGCTCTTGCACGGGACTTTTTTTCCTGTTAACTAGAAGTGGCAGATGTGTTTGACACATGCCCCCATTTCCCATAGCAGCTCCGTAAATGACATTTAAGGTGGATAGGTCCCGGTAGGTCTGTGCTAAAGCAAAAATGAGGGTTCACAAGCATCCCTAGTGTCCGGTCACCGAGGCTCAAAAAAGGTACAAAGTTGGCCTATTCGACCCCCAACTCCTAAAGAAGGCTCCAGAGCCTGCTAACCTAGTACGCCAGGTTATCAGGTTGACAGGTGGAAGAGTTGTGCCGAACAATTCCAAAGGGACCAGGGAAAAAGTTAGACATCTGTTCTTATGTCTTTACGACTTTGGGGAACAATGCTGTTTGTTAATATCTTAAAATCAAACTCATAAGCAGAGAGCACACGTTTGCACACACAGGGACTTAAGCACGTTCACTCTTGTCCCCCAGAACAGAAACCCCACACTATCCTCCCTACACACAGCCTCCGGAAACTTCTGTGATTCTAAGAATCGAAGCGCATAATTAATATTTTATGGCCTTGGTTCATGGAAACAACACCAAAATATTTCCCCCCTCCCCTCAGTTGGGCCTTGAGGAAATCCAGACCCGAGGGCCTGCTTCCCCAGAGGGTCCGCACGCGACAGACAGCGCCGAATACTGACCTGTGTGAGTTCGTTTGTGTATTTTGAGATTTTCTGATCTAGCAAAGACCTTCCCACACCCCGGGAAAGGACAAGGGAAGGGCTTCTCGCCCGTGTGCACGCGGATGTGATTTACAAGTTTGTATTTGGCTTTGAAGGGCTTGCCCTGGCGCGGACACTCCTCCCAGAAGCAAATGTGGTTGGCCTGTTCCGGGCCGCCGACGTGCTCCACGGTGACGTGCGTAACCAGCTCGTGCATGGTGCTGAAAGTTTTGGAGCAGAGGCGCGGGGGCGCGGTGCCGTCGGCCGCCAGCCACTTGCAGATGAGCTCCTGTTTGATGGGCTGGCGCATGTAGCGGAAGAAAGCGCCAGGACCGTGGGGCGCGGCGAGGTTCACCGTCAGGTTCATGCCCCCGTAGCCATGCAGGGCTGCGGCAGCTGCCAGGGCGTCGCTGCGGGCCGCAGGCCCCGGCGGGAAGGGCTCTGGCCGAGCGTACATGTCTCCAGGGAGCCCCAGACGAAGGAGTCCATTCAAAGAACGGCTGGGGGAGGCCTGGGGAGGCTCCTCGTGGAGGCCCGGGAACACCGAGGGGCTGGAGGCGGCGGTGAGCTGGGGGTCATGGTGTCCAGAGCTGCTACCTGTTGTCGAAACAAATAGCACGCATGAGAACGAGTGGCGTGGGCTGAGCGCTCTTCCCTGGGCCCCGGGGGGCAGGCCCAGCCCAGCCGCTCTACGGCCTCTGCGGTCAGCGATGGAACTCAGAGCCAGACGGCGCCAGCAGTGAACCCGGTGGACAGAGAAAGGCCGAACGCCTTCGCCGCTGTTGGGCCGGGTTGCTGTTCGGCCAAGTCCCCTGCCGTGCCATGAGCTGGAGAGGGACGGTAACGGCAGAGTAGATGTACGGGGTACTGGGAGGCGCAGGGCTGAGCCTGTGGGTTGCTGGGGTTTCTGCTCCAGAGGGGTCGGACCTGAGTCCCAAGCGAACTTTGGTGGCCAACACTCTGGGGCGCTCCGGGGCACGGTGCCCTGCCGGGAAGTGGAGGTGATAAAAATGATGGTGTTGAGGGTGGTGGTGGTTCTGAAGCGCCCCAGCCATATACATTAATTTCAGTGCCCCGCTTGGATGGGAGAGGGCGGCCTGCTGCATGCCGGCCCTGGCTGCCCGGAGCTCCCTGTACCGGCCCGCTAAAGCCACTGTCACCTGACTGTGGGGAGGGGAAAGGACAGCCACACAAAAAACTTCTGCAAAGTTTTTTTTTTTCTTCCTCTTTTTCTTCTTCTCAAGGTTTGGATTTGGGTGCCCCCACCCCCTTGGTTATTAATGCCTACACGAAATCCTGTACACTACAGAGGCAGCAGCAGGGCGCGTTAGGAAGTCAATAGAGATTCAGGGCCGTGGCCCGGGCCCACAGAGAGGAACAATCGCCTGGGTCGCCCATTGGCCAGTGGCCGGGCCCGACGTCAGTGATGACAGGTCCTGCCGCACGCGGTCTGTCTCTCTCTCTCTCTCTCTCTCTTCCCCGCCCCATTCCCTCGCCCCCACCCACACACACCCTGCTTCCCTCCCTCACTCCACCCCCACAGCATCTCATGCTTCTACTGCTCATGCGCTCTGACCCGGGCACAAATCCTTTTCTCTCCCCTTGAGCCCCTTCCCCCTCTCCGGAAAGCTGAGTGGATCAGCTTTGCCTCAGGGCTCCTGAAAGTACTCGGGGCTGCATTTTGCCACCATTCACCACAACTCTGGGGAGGGAGCCTTGCGCTGAGCCTTAAAGTCCCCTCGGGAGCTCAGTCGGGGCTGATAGGTAGCAACGAGCGCTCAGAGATGGCGGTCTGGTTGGGCAGTTTGTCCCTGTAGCCAGCAAGAAGAGGGCGCCGGGATCGAGGGACCAAAAAAGGCTGCTGCCTCGGGGGCCAGGAGCTGAGAAACTCCTAGGCTAGCGGCCCTTGAGCCTAATTTTATTTTTTCGCTTTCTCCGAAATGTTTTGTTTCTCTCGTGTTTCTGGTCCTTTTCGTCTCTCTTATTTTCCCCAAACCCGCTACCTCACTTTGTCTTCCTTTCTTCTCCCCTCCCCCTCTCTTTTCCCTCTACTCTCTTCCCATTTAGCCTGGCAGGCCCCTCCCCGCCGTGTTGGCGAGCTCGTAGACGCACGAAACCCAAGGATCTGGCCCTGACCAGGGCCAGTATTAGGAGGGAAGTGGTGACGGCCTGGAAAGGCTGGGCTCGAACCCATGCCTTCCTGAGAGGTCACTCCCCCCCACAAATCACACCCATCCGCGGGCTGGCTGGCCAAAGAAACAAAGGAGTCGGGCGTGCATCCAGGAGAAACAGGTTTTCACTCTCAGATCTTCCTGGGCCAATCAAGGATCCTGAGCTCTATACCCTGCAGTCGTAGGGAGCCTCTGGGAAAAAGGATTTAAGGGTGACTTCCACTTTCAGCTTCGGCTACTTGTTGCCTTCGGTCCGAGCCTCCTCTGCCTCCCTCCTAGCTCGTCTTAGGCCTCTGTAGAGAGTGCACGCCGCGTTTCCCGGTCCATGCTCTGAGAGGGCCTGCAGGCCCGTGGCCGCCTCTCACAAGATGGCCTCGAGTACTAGGGGCGCCAACTTAGAGGGATGGGGGTCGGTCCCAGCAGTGGAAAAACTTAAGTTCTGGCCCAGTCGAGTGTGGCAGAAGCCCGGGGGCGGGGGCTGATGGGCTGTGACGGCGGTCGGGCTTCCTTTGTCTGCGCAGACCGGCTAAGGTCAGCTGCGAGGTCCGGCGATTTAAAGGGCTGCTGACCGGAACTCCTGCCTTGTCACTGCAGCCAAAAATGCCAGCCTAAGCGCTTGGGCTTCCCTGGCGGCCATAAAAAGTGCCCCCTAAACAGAGAAAGGCTTGTATTTTTAAGAAAAGTTTTAAAGATTGTGTAAAATATCCCATACTCCTTAGCAGAGGCAAGAAATTCGGGCAGATTACCAGCAACGCTGACTAGAAATTGACTGAACTGTTCCTCCCCCTCCCCCCAGCACCAAAGACTATTCTTACACATTTCCTGGATAGTAAATAAGGCTTTCTTTTAAATTTTTAAAAATAATTAACTAATGTATAACAGTTGGCAGATTCTTTGAGACCTTCATTTAATGCATTGTTCCCCCCTTGGGTACACTTTAGGGAGGGATTAACTTCTACAACAATTTATCTCCACTTAGACAAGTCCAGATCTTTCTAGACGAAGAGCTTAGGTAACTCTACCAACAGATACTATGCCAGCATATATATATATATATATATATATATATATATATATATATATATATATGGGGAAACATGGTGACTGCAAAGACTCCCACTTTCTACTCTCAAAACCAAGGGCCTCCACACAGCAGTTCTGTGTGGAGAACTAGACTCTCAGGATTTGTCTCCCTGGCTTTCACCTTCTCCCATGGTTTACCCTCCACCAACAGGCAATGCCTCTGATCCTTCCCTTGACTTCCCCTTATCCAGGTAGTGGTCTGGCCAGGTTTCCAGCAAAAGGTTTCTACATCTCAATGAGTCATTTAATGTCTCCCCACCTCACAGGTGTCTGTTCAATAATGCAATTGTCTAGGCAACTCTGGACTGACCCATGAAGGTCTCCAAAAAGCAAAACAAAAGCCAGATGTGTTCTTCCCTAGAATTCCTTGTCCAGCTGTTTTTTACTATCCTCATCTCAACACAGAGCTTAGTCAATTTCTGTAGCATTCAGGTTTAAGTGCAGGGGCATGTCTGCAATAATCTTGCAATTAAAATATTTTTTCTCCACTGGAACCTAGGTAATCTACAACCAATGGTTCAGAATGTTTGTCAAACTCATCCACTTTAGCTTTAAGACTCTGATTTGCACACATATGAATTTCTTTCTCTCTCTTTCTTTCTCTCTCTCTCTCTCCCCTCTCTTTCTTTCTTTCTTTCTTTCTTCCTTTCTTCCTTTCTTTCTTTTCTTCCCCTCGCCCCCACCAGATGGAGTCTCCCTCTGTGGTCCAGGCTGCAGTGCAATGGCACATCTCCGCTTACTGCAACATCCTCCTTTCAGGTTCAAGTGATTCTTCCACCTCAGCCTCCCATGTAGCTGAGATTACAGGCACCCACCATCATGCCCGGCTAATTTTTGCATTTTTAGTAGAGACAGGTTTTCACCATGTTAGCCAGGCTGGTCTTGAACTCCTGAACTCAGGTCATCTGCCCACCTGAGCCTCCTGGAGTGCAGAAATTACAGGCGTGAGCCGCCACTGTGCCAGGCCTGATTTCTTAATATACATACTGTGACCCCACCTCCATCACAAGCTTTGAATAGTGGCACAAACAGGAGAAGAGGGGGTTTTAGTTGTTTCAGGCTGTGGACCCCTTAGGGAGCCTGTTGAACTCTTAATAGTCCAGTATTTGCTGTCCATATTCATCATAGAAGAAAACACTAACTTTCCAATAGAAGGCTGTGAAAATAAAGATGCATTTTTTTTTCCTCATCCAAGTTTATGGGCCCTCTGGAATTCTAACCACTGACTCTCTGGACTCCAGGGATAAGAAGCAGAGGTTTTATACACATAGGCTGCTAGCATACCACACACTTTCTGTTAGTCACTTTGCCTTTGAAAAGCTTTGAACTTGCGGATGACTTTTTTTGTGCTAGCAGCAAGAGGGCAAACACATCTGATTCAGCCAAAATCAAGGACAGTAGGCTGGCCCCATGGAGCTCCTTCCCAGATGCAGCCTTATCTTGAAAGCCAAAAACATCTGGGACCCATTCTGGGTATCTGCTTCTTGCTTGAGTAGCCAGGGGTCAGTAGACCTGCAGGTCACTGAGGTTGCCTGATCTTTGCAAGTTCCTTAGAGCCATATGGTCTATATCTTTGTTGGCTAAACACAGCAATGGGTTCAGACATTCTCCTAGAAGGATATTTCCCCAGAGACAGCAATAAAGAAAAGAAATTGTACAACTAAAATTTGCAGACAAGAAACTTTGGGCAATTATATAAGGGTCTTCAAGGTATGTCTTTGGAATAAGCCCCAAAGCAGTGTCCAGCTAGAGGTGGTGGGACATCAACATCTGAGAGACATATTTTAGTCTAGAGAGATCATTTCAAGTCTTCCAGAGCCTGGGAAGCAAGGAATCCAAGCTACAGAGATTATAAATTGAGCAGGCTAAGGAATGGTGTCTCCTCAGTGGTCTTCAGAGTTTTTTTTCCAGAAACATCTCACTATACCTGCTCCAACACCAAATGCTTGACTGAAGCATTCTATTCCTTTCTATGCCTGGAGCTATAGCGTTAAGTCTATTTTTCTGCTTCATTTGTAGAGAAAAAGAATATCCCACAACCCACAGATCGTTAGCAGATGTCAAAAAGAAGCACTGGAAGCTTGCTTTCATGGGAACCTATTTGGAGCATATTCCACCACTAGACCCCAAATATCCCTCAATCTTCAGAGCCTCTGCAAAGCAGTGCCTAGAATCATGCCCTAAACACTTTTTCTCACCCTGCCCAGACCAAGACAATGATGTAAACAAGTGATTTCCTCGTTCTACTTTGTAGAAACAGGATATTTGGTGGCCCTAGCTTCTACCAGAGCTCCTTAAATCACCGGTTTGAATACCTGATCTCTTTCCATTGGAAAGGAAAAAAAATGTAGGATATTTCAGATCAACAGCTGGGCTACTTTTTCATTTTAACATTTTAAGCATTGTTAAATTAAATGATGATTACTTGTTGTAAGTTATGCCCAGATCAGGAGCCGGGCCCTAATCAACTGTGGGTCACTGTATTAGAGCCTGGCTAGGAACAAGTTTTGTTATCTGAATGTTCTGCATCTAAATCAGTAGTCACTTGTTCAGTTCTTTCCTCCCTATTTCTGGTCAGGTTGCCACCCTAAAGCGAGGTAAATTTCTTTAGAGGCTAGTCACAGACAGACTTCAGGATTTCTACAGAAGGAGATTGCCTTTATTCTTATGCAAAGAAATAACTTAAGCCCCAGCAGCCTATCCATATTTCTAAGTCCAAATTGTGCAAAGGAGATGAGATCTATTAGGATTTTGGCAATAAAGGAGGATATTCTTCTCCTCTGCTATGAAAATTTGAGCTTTAAATATCATTAATGGGACCGAGTATGGAAGAAAATATACTTGGATAGACTTTATTTTCCAAACAAGGATTCTACAAAACATTCTGTGACAAAGTCTTAGGAAACGTTGCTTTTGGATTTTCCAAAACAGGATGTTCTAAAACAGCCTTAAGGAATAAAGACAACTGAATTTACATAATAACTCACATCTCTCTTGAGACTTTTGCCATCAAATAATCCCCAGATAATATAAGAGATCCATTTCTAGAGTTGTCCATTTGACTTTTGTTAAAAAGGTTGCTTTGCCTACCAATGAGGAAACATCTTTGGAAGCAACCACCAGCTAGTGATACAGTTGAAATGAGGAAAACTAGATGCCTGGAAGGGAAAACACCCAATCCTAAATCATATGCTTATTCTAAATGGAATATTAAATTAAATTCTTCACAATGAAGGTATTCCTGACAGAGCGGCTGTCAGTCACCCCCTGTTCAGACACCACATTGTGGGAACCTCATCGCTACCACATTGCAGAAGGCTGGTATCCCTGGTAAAGATGATGTATGTCATGTAAACCCCATCACCCAGATCAAAGTCTGCTTTTTTCATGGAAGCCAATACATGTCAAACCTCATTCCAATCAAATCATCTGGAAATGAATTCAAGATGAATATGTCATAGAATAATGTGACAGTGGAATTGCAGAAGGTCAGGGGTGGTTGTTTCAATGAGAGAGTCGTCAAATATTAATTCTGGAACGTCCAGATGAGTAGGCATTGAGGGGGATTAGCCGGCTGCTGGTGGGATGTCGTGTCATTGATTTGTGTGCAAATGTATTGAACACCAAGGTGTTCTAAGTTTCATTTGAACTCAAGAAACTCCCTCCAAACTCTCAACCCAATGTAAACAAAAGACAAAACAAAACTTCCTACTTAAAAATAAGAAAAGAAACCAGCAAACCAATATTCAAAAGAGGATTTTAACTTACTTGACTCTTTCAGAGTGTTTCGGTAAAGCCGTAATCGTTTCCTCATCACCAAGGATGTCTTGTATCTCATTTTCTGAGTTTGAGCCTGTTTGGGAAGAAAAGGGTGACAGTCACTAGTTAAACAATTTTATACACCTGTGTGGCAAAATTCTGTGGTTTGAATGTATGAATGAAAGAAGGTATTGGTCTGAAGAAAGGCTTTTGGTCTTTGACCATTTTCAAATTTGGAAGCTGAAGAAAAGGCTACTGCCAAGAACAGCCCATATTGCGAAATGATATATCTTTGGTGATAAAAATATGGAAAAATTGTCATTTTCCAGCAAGGCTTTTATTTGAAACTCCTTTGTTGTTTTACCTTGCAAATAGAAGTAAGCTCTCTTTTAGTCAGTGCTCAAAAATCTGTAGCTTCTCGAATTTAAATTAATTGTATAAGAAACCCCATTATTTTTATGAAGTTTATGAACTGAAATTTAGTGAGGTGTGGCGGGGAAAGCCTACTGAACCCTGAGAGGTTAGTAGTTCAAATTTGAGTTACAACTGTTGGAACTGAGAGGACAGGAATTTCTTTGCAGGTTTTCAAATCCTGTTCTGCCTGTGATGCTGCAGAATTCCTTAGCCTCACATTTCCCACACCCCAGGCCCATTTGGGATCCATCACCAGTTGATTTTTTAAAGCTAATGTAAAATTTGTCAGATTAAAAAGGTATAATTTTAATCATTTGATTCGAATCATTCACATTTCATAGTCCAGAAGGGTAGAAATAATACCGCCCCCCCCAAGATATACACATTACTTATCAGATTCACTTTGTGGCTAAAGCTACCAAACCATTGGCCATCTTAAATACTTAAAGCCATCCTGAGGACCTCTGCATCTGTCAGGCAAGGCTGAAGGCAGTTAAGCAGCCAAACAGAAGCATCTACCCGCCCCGACCCTCAATTTGGCCTAGAAAGAAAAACAGTCATTGAAAAGGTCTCAGGCTGGACAAACACAGCAAGTCCTCTGTCAATGGGGATGTCTGCCCACAGAACAAGCAGTTGTTTAACTTGTTGAACCACAGGCCAAATCCAAGTGGGGCTCTGTTATCTTAAAGGGTATCCAGTTCTCTGTGCACAAAAATCTCTCTCTCTCTCTCTCTCCCCCTCAACCTCCATCAAGAATTCCAACTAGCCTAGCGGCTTTTACTCTTCCATCTTCCCTCCTTTCTAGGTCCAGGCCTGGGAGGCAGGGGGTAAACTCACCTTTTCCCAGAGGGTATTATTATTTTCAATTCTTTCTAACCAAAAGGCATTCTTCCCCAAAGGTAATAAGCTCCTTCCAGCACGAATCAGGAAAGAAAGGAGGCCTAACTTTGCATTCCTACAGAAGGGCAGCATGCTGGGCGTCCTCGCTCTGAAATTTCCTCATGGCAGGATGTCTGGCATGGAGAAGTCCTGGTTGGTTGGCAATAATAGAATTAACTTTTTTTGCTTCTGGGGGAAATGGGTGTAATATTCCTTAGAGATTTCTATCCACCGGCAAGGCTACCTCAACCCAATTTCTAAGAGGACTGGATCACTTTTGCCCCAGGCCCCATCAGCCTTTTGTGCACTACAGACCCACAGACATGCAAACAAATGTTGCAGAGGTCGAACTAGAACAGGCAACAGGGACTTTAGGAGACTCTCTGTAGCATTTCCATTACCCAGCCTACACAGCGAACCAGGGTAAAACATCTCCTTTGGTTCAAACTCTGACGCCATTTAGCAAACAAGCCAGTCATCTTGCTGAAGGGTAGTTGAGAGGATTTGGGAGGAATCCCTGGGCCCAGGGACCTGAGGACTCAAACAACCCCGGAATATAGGAACTCAGTTTCGTTTTTCCCCAAATGCTTGCTCCCCACGTCAGCCGCAGCCTCCGAATTTCCAGGCCATAGCACATCCTGGAGACTTTTTGGAGTCTTCCTTTCTGCTCCCACCTTGAGAAGAGGAAAGGGTGCTAGGGAGCCCCAGTGATTGATAGCGCCGGAGGCGAGCCAAGAAGGTGGGGCGGTGGGTAGGTGCAAAAAGAACCATTTTTATTTGGAGGAATCTCGGAAGCTGCAAGTAGTGGGATCGACCTAGCCAGCGCAAGACTACCCAAGGTCAGAGGTCAGCTGCAACCAGGGACTTCATTCAGTTCCGGAGCTGCTTCTTACTGATTCGCCGGCAGGCTCGGGAAAGGCTTGGCCACCTCTCCGCTGCAACTTGTCCCTGGCGGGCGCAGAGCAAAAACCCTGAAAGCTGGCTGGCTTAGAGCTCCAAGCCAGAGCGGCTGCCTGATTTCACCATCTGCACCCCGGACTTTTTTGGCTCCCCTCCATCCGACCCTCAAGTGCCAGGAGGTTGAGCTGCTGAGACTGGGTTAGGCAGGGGCCTTTACTTATTCTCCTATTCTCTAGAGGGAGAAGCTCGGGTTTCCCAGCTCGGCGCTGAAGTGTGGGCAGCCTCCGGGTTCCCAGAATAGTTTCTATCAGTAGATCACCTGCAGGATCATCTTGGGCATTTAACCCTCCCTTTGAGTCACCCCTCCCTCAACCTTCAGGCGGCTGAGATAGGAGAAAAATCAGCGGAGTGCGGTGGTATGGGTCGCTGCGAGGCCAATACTGTCGGAAAGCGGGGAAAATATGACCTTGGAATCCAAAGACTTTCCTGAAGACGGTGACTGCCGAAGTACAACCCTCCAAAACCCTTTCCGCTTTCCTAGGACTTTTCCATGGGCTATTCATTAACCCCAACTTTCAGGTCCAACCTCTGAGCCAGTCCTAGCTTTCGTTCACAGCTCAACTCCGTTCCCTCACTTGCCCCTAATTTCCAATGCCCCTGGGTCTATGCCAGGGGCCAGAATCCTAGGGGCTGCGGCCTGCTCCCCAGAGAACTAGTTGCTGCTCTTGTTCACATTGGAGAGAAAGCAAGCCACGTCTCGAACCCACTGCTGGCCAAACGCAGAGAGCAGATCCCAGCAGTCAGCTTCCTGAGGCAGGACCAAGATGAGGGAGGACAAGGAGCCGGCCCGAGGTGGACTCAGGCGGCATCTGCCCTCAGGTTGGGGCGGAGAAGCTCCATCGTCTTGCTGCCAGCTGGTCTAACTTGGCTCTTTGACCCTGGAGAGGGGAAGCGGAGACCCTCCTCACCATTCCCTTGGGGGCAGAGCAAAGAGACCGCCTGTAAAGGGGGCATCTGCCTTGCTCATTTATCGCGAGGGAAGCTAGGGGCCACGATTCCCCTTCTTGTGCCCAAGGTGGGGCACCCAGACAATTTACAAGGAGAGAAGGAAAGGCAGGCAGGCAACAAGCTACTCCTGGTTCCTGTGCCAGTGGGAGCCCCATTTGTCCCCCTTTTCCCTCCTCCTGGGAGGAAGGGATGGACTCATCCTCAGCGCTGCCCCTCTGCGGAAGACCCCCCCTCCTTTCCCTTAGTGTCAGTGGGGTGGGGCCTGTATCCACGGTTGGGGTGGGGGAAGGAAGGAGGAAATGGGGCAGAAATACTGGCTGGGCCTCTTTCCCCACTGGGGTTTAGGTGCCAGTGGCTCCCTTGAGAGCACTTGCTACCCGCTCGCTAGAGGTACTGGTCTCATCTGTCTGCCCCCTGGACTGGTGCACTTACCCCACTCCACCTGTTGCCAGGATCGCCTCATTTCTGCACATCATTTCGGGGTGGCTGAGAGGGGACCACAAACCCCTCCAAGCCTCTCTTTTGTGGTTCCAGCGAGGCGGTCATCCTTCATTTCTCCTTTTCCAGCTTTCGGGAAGCAGTTAGGGAATGTATGATGAAGCAGAAATGAGCCGTCAGGATGATATTTTAATGGCTTATATGTCACGTTGGTGCATGTGGCTTTGAACTGGAGCCGCTCGCGTTTCCTGCAGAGAGCGCCGCAAATCCCACTTGATAACTTCTACAACCCACAACTTTTTTTTTTTTTCTCACATTCACTCTTACCCTGTATATTTGGATGTGTTTCCTAAAAATACCCTCTTGTCAACGTCCCCGTTGGATTTTCCACAGACTGGAGAGGAGAAGACTGACTTTTCTTTTTTGAAGAATTATTTTCCCTCTCCCCCTCCCAACAGCTACCCTTCCCCCTTCGATCCCCTCCCTCGTAGGATTTTTTTTTTTTTTTTTCCTGAAAGGCGGGTGAGGTGGGTTCAATATCTGTTCTCCCTAGTGAGAGGAATACAGCCTCTAGAGAAAACTTCTCCTTGCAGATGAGGTTTGCTCAGCTCCAGGGGAAGTAGGATCCCTGTAGGTAAAAAAGACTTAGTGACTCTGATACAGCTTTTTTGTCTAAGAAAAAAAGTGTATAATAATTTTTAAAAATGCCTCAGCGCTTTCTTTCCCTCCACTCCTCACTCCATTCCATTCCATTCAAAGTTGGTGGGAAATGCTGGGCTGCTAGACTCAGACTTGTTGATGGGAATAGAGCAATTGATTTTTTTTTTTTTCTTCTCTAATTTCTATTTCCCAGCACAAGCACAAATGCTCAGCCAGGTCCCTTCAGGCACCGAGAAATTATCCGGGATACCCAAGCCGACTTTTGAGCAAGCAGATCCCATGAAAAGTGCAGTCCCTCTGGCCAGCCCCAAGCGAAAATCTCGCCGGTGAGAAGACCAGAAAACCAGAAAGGCGAGGAGCGGCAGACGCTGACCCTGCCTTCCTCCAGCCCGTGCAGTCAGCGCCGGCGTCAGGGCAAAAAAATATATTCATGTTCATTTTCCTCTCTCTGGGGCACTGGTGAGTTTCCTAACAGGGCCGCCTGTGAAAGGATGAGTTGAGGTTTCTTTGTCTGGAAAAGAGTTTAGGGCTTTGATTCAGCTGCAAAGAAGCCAAATGAAGTTAGAAACAAAGGGTAAATTGAAGGATTCCGACTCTTGGCTTTTTGTGTTTTCCTTACTAGAAAATAATTAGACCTAATGAATATGCAGACGCTTCAGCTAAGCCCTCGGCCAGGGCTGCTGAGTTTTAAACAGAGCTGCGGAGAAATGCAACCCTCAGCCCCACAACCCCCAGCATCCGCGAGCATTTTTTGAAATGCATAAATGTTGCTTGGCTTAATTGATTGAGTCACAGGGATTTTTTTTTTTTTCCTGCTTTTAAGTACCATACTCCCCTACCTTTCAACAATCATTTTAATATATAGTCAATGGCTCTTTGTGGACGGGACAAAAAGAAAGTACGCGCAGTTGTTGAATAGACTTTGCGCTAGGCAAAGACAGGTTAATCGAGGGCCGCATCGCGAAAACAAGCGAGTGTTGTATGTTTGCACTGAATCCAAATGTCTGCATTTTCCTAACTAAATCAAAGGGAGTGTTATTTCTTTTTCTGTTCACTCATCTGAAGGTAAGTAAATTTTCTCTGGCGATCAAAAGCCTGGTCGGCAACAAAGACCGCGCCCGCTTTTTCCACCGTCCTGGTGTGGCGAGTTGCGGAATTTCAATAACTGTGACAAGGGTGACTGATTTGTGAACTAGAAAAGGTTTGAATGTCACAAAATTTACATTGGTCCTATCTATTGGGGATTTAAATACCAAAAAAGTATTCGGGGATCTCTAGGGAGCTTTGGGCAGCCCAAGGGAACAATGGCGCATTGGGAAATTTACAGTTTTACCTGAATGAAAGGGGCCCAAGTAGGGAACAGGAGACCAGAGAGAAAGAGTTAGCGGGGGCAGTCGAGGGAGACAAGGGAAAGAGAGAAAAGAGAAAAATAAGGCAAGAGAGGGAAAAAGAAAAGGAAATTGTCAACAACGTTTCAAATTTGCCATTAAAAAATTCCAACCTCAATAACCTGGGAACTTAAGCGCTTTCATCCACGTGTGTGTGTGTGTGTGTGTGTATGTGTGTTTGGGGGTGCGGTGGTGCAGGAAGTCTGATTAGATAAAAGCGAGAATACAGAGGCTACCGGTTACACTGAGAAATTGCATTTCTTGTAAAGAGAGCATAGTGCCAGTGTGCTCCCAAGATCTTAAATTATAAACAGGAGGGGGACTAAGCAAGAGGGAAACAAACTTCAAAAGGAGCAAATAACAAAAGCCTTTTTTGCTGCCCTTGAATGGGAGGAAAGGGGGAAGAAAGAAAAGAAAGTTGCTGAATCGGGACATTCTGGAAGTGCCTTTGCTGTGTTTACCAGCCCCATCCCCGCCTCCTGCACAAGGAGACGCCCGAAGTCTCTAAACGCTCAGCGAAGAGTAGGTTTAGGGAAGAACCGCGCGGGGGTGGGGGTGGGGGCATGGGAGGAGGAGGAGGAATGCATACAACTGTGAGAAGGAAAGGAATCGTGGCAAAAAAAAAAAAAAAAAAAAAAAAAATTCCGTGAGAAGAGGGAAAAAATTTGGCTAAAAAGAAAGTTGCTTCTCCTGGCAGTCCTGGTTTGTCAAAAGGGGATGTCAAGCGCTTTACAATACCTGGGATTGATGAGGCGGGCGGGCCAATGAGCTGCGCTCGGCGCCTCGGCGCGCCCTCCGTTGGCGCGGCGGCTGCAGGCGGGGGGAGTGCAGGCGCACCAATGGGCGCCAGCATCCGCAGCACGTGACACCTCCCCCTGCTCCCATTCATCAAGGGGGGGACGGTGTCGTCCTTTCAATTCATTTATCTGCAGGAATGATTGCTGCTATCAGTCTCGCGCTCACCGCCCGGCTGAGGAGGTGAAAGTTTCTCCCCAGGAAGATAAACCGCAAAAGACAATATTGTGCATGATTTGCGCCTTTTCTTTTTCTTTTTTTTTCTTTCTTCCCCCCCCCCCCCTCTTTTTTTTTTTTTTTTTTTTTTTTTTTTTTTTTTTTTTTTTTGCAAAAAGCAGAGAGGGAAAAAAGGAGAGTGAAGGAGCAAGGAGGCGAGCCTGAGAGAAAGGAGATAGAAAAGAAAGGGCGAGGGGCTAGTGGAGAATTGAGGAGGGGCACGCGGCGAGAGGCGGAGAGGGGGAAGCAACCGCGGCTCTGGCGCTCACATTCCTCTATGCTACAAATCCGGGAGGAAGTTTTTTTGGGGGGCTGAGATGCTCCATGCCTTTCCCCGGGCAGCCTTGACACGCGGCCCTCTCGGCAGAGACTGAGCGGCGAGAAAGTGCGAGCCGGGCCGGCTGGGTGTGCGTGGCGGGCACTGGAGCCTGTCTTACTAGCGGCCCGCAGCCGTCCGGCTACTTTGCGTTTGGCCGGGCCGGCGCCCCGGCGCGCCGCGCCGTTGCCTGCAGGCTAGGACTTCGAGAGGTGGGTCGACTCCCCCTCCCTCCTCCTCTTCTTCCTCCTCTTCCTCCTCCTGTCGGTCCTCCTCCTCCTCCTTCCGATTTTCCCTCTTTGGCTGGCGAGGGTGGGGGGGGCGGGGGAGGCCGGGGCTCGCCCCGAGCAGCCACGATGCTCCTGGACGCCGGCCCCCAGTACCCAGCGATCGGCGTGACCACCTTTGGCGCGTCCCGCCACCACTCTGCGGGCGACGTGGCCGAGCGAGACGTGGGCCTGGGCATCAACCCGTTCGCCGACGGCATGGGCGCCTTCAAGCTCAACCCCAGTTCTCATGAACTGGCTTCGGCCGGCCAGACGGCCTTCACGTCGCAGGCACCGGGCTACGCGGCAGCTGCGGCCCTGGGCCATCACCATCACCCCGGCCACGTCGGCTCCTATTCCAGCGCAGCCTTCAACTCCACGCGGGACTTTCTGTTCCGCAACCGGGGTTTTGGCGACGCGGCGGCGGCAGCCAGCGCACAGCACAGCCTCTTCGCTGCTTCGGCCGGGGGCTTCGGGGGCCCACACGGCCACACGGACGCCGCGGGCCACCTCCTCTTCCCTGGGCTTCACGAGCAGGCTGCCGGCCACGCGTCGCCTAACGTGGTCAACGGGCAGATGAGGCTCGGCTTCTCGGGGGACATGTACCCACGACCCGAGCAGTACGGCCAGGTGACCAGCCCGCGTTCCGAGCACTATGCTGCGCCGCAGCTGCACGGCTACGGGCCCATGAACGTGAACATGGCCGCGCATCACGGCGCCGGCGCCTTCTTCCGCTATATGCGTCAACCCATCAAGCAAGAGCTCATCTGCAAGTGGATCGAGCCCGAGCAACTGGCCAACCCCAAAAAGTCGTGCAACAAAACTTTCAGCACCATGCACGAGCTAGTCACGCACGTCACCGTGGAGCACGTAGGTGGCCCGGAGCAGAGTAACCACATCTGCTTTTGGGAGGAGTGTCCGCGAGAGGGCAAGCCCTTCAAAGCTAAATACAAACTGGTTAACCACATCCGCGTGCACACGGGCGAGAAGCCCTTCCCCTGCCCCTTCCCTGGCTGTGGCAAGGTCTTCGCACGCTCCGAGAACTTAAAGATCCACAAAAGGACGCACACAGGTACGGAAACCGCTCTAGGACCCCTACCCATCCCACTTGGGCCTGGGACCCAAAATCCGAAAGTCAGTGGCCAGGTCGTACAGATGAGCCTCGGTGGGATCCGGGTGTCAGGTTCTGGCAGGCAGGCAGGGAAAGTGTGCGCTAATTTTTAGTTTGGGGATTGAAATTATGAAAAAACAAAATAAAACAGAGGGCAGACAAGAAGGATCTGGAGAT